TGATCAGCTCATGGTCACTGTCACCTAGCTTCCCATCGATCACTAGGTCGCCGATTAGGTCATCCCCTGTAGCCAGTACCAGGTCAAGCAGAGCTTTGCCTCTTGTTGGCCCATAGACTTCTTGAGTCATGTAGAGGTCATCCATGCACAAGAGGAAGCTTTGCAACTGCTTGGATTTTGCTGACTGATCCTCCCACGAGATGTCCGGGTAATTGAAGTCACCCATGACAACCATGGTCCTGGAGCATGCAGCCTCATCCAGTTCATAGGTGAACTCCTGGTCAAGCTCAGGACTTTGGGTCGGAGGTCTGTAATAGACTCCCACCGTTGTGTCCCCTGTGCCATGCTCCCCATGGATTTTAACCTACGGAGTCTCCAGTCGTCCACTCTGATCGCCAATATCAGCTTGCAGGGATATGTAGCTTTCCTTAACATAGAAAGCTACACCCCCACCCCTTTTATCTATACGATCCCTCCTGTACAGGTTATAGCCATCTATACCTGAGGTCCAGTCATGGGTGGAGTCCCACCAGGTCTCCGTTATCCCTATGACATCATAATTATTTGCATTAAGCAGGAGGATGAGCTCCTCCTGCTTATTCCCCAAGCTCCTGGCATTTGTGTACAGGCAGGCAAGTGCCCCCTTGAGGGCTCTTGCCTTGCCCACAGATTGTACCAGGGCTGGGGCAAGGGTGGGCTCCCTTAAGTGCCTTGGCCTGCTGGCTTTGCAAGGGTTGCTCAGCAGGTCAGCAGTGGCGGTAGTCCCCCTGTCCCTCAACAAGCTTAGTTTAAAGCCCGGTGGAGCAGATCAGCCAGTCTGGCTGAGAAGAGCATCCTCCCCAGGAGAGAGAGGTGGAGGTCATCTCTTCCCAGCAGCTCGCTGTCTCTTTCACCAAAGAGCAGACCTGTGTGGGGATCTCCTTGCTGCTGCCCTGGGGAGGCATCCCATGTGTGCAGCAGCAGCAGCAGGGGAGGCAGTGTAGGGTTGTGTCCCTCACTGCTGTCATGCATGCAGGAGATGCCCTGCCAGGGCAGCATGGAGCTTGAAGTGGCTGGGCTGTAGAGGTCCTAGGAGGAGGGCAGCAGGGTGGGGAGCCACCTTTGAAGGAACTGCAGGGAGCAGGGGGCTGTGGATGGGATGTGAGGGGCACCAGCCTGGCTGGGGGGGCACTGGGGTGGGGGGACTGAGGGATACAAGCAGGGCCAGGGGGTTGTGCAGGGTGGGGGGTAAGAGTGAGGGGCCTTTCATTTTAATCATGGATTTGGGGGCGTTTATCAGAAATTTTGCAAATTTTTAATCAGGGAAAACCACGATCCCTGCTAATAAGTAACAGACTGCCTTCATTTCTGATAATGAGTATGATACCAAGCATCAGTTTTTTGAAGTAGCAAACATTGGTCAGCAAGCAAAAACCACCAAAGCTCAGTAAGTTCCACACTGGAATTATCCTGTAAAATATCACTTCAAGGTCATGTCCGCCAGTGTTCATTTTTCCAGACATTTACAATGTCATTTCAGATAACTCTAGTCATATAATAATGGCATTGGGACCAAGGAGAAAACACATGAAGAAATAAGTGTCAACTTATTATTAATACAGCTGTTCAGTATACAAAATACACAGTCCAAGTGACCAGAGAATAGACTGTAGTAGGAAAAGGAGAAATGCATTCAACCAAAAGGACTTAAGTTTGTATTGGGAAGACTTTTCCCCCAGTTTTCTCCTACTTTCTTCATATTCCTAGTGGTGGGAATGTTTGTGCTAGTGGTAGTGATAGTGCTAGAGATGTTTATGATGCTTTTTTTTTTTTAAAGGCAACATTGCATCAATGATGGGCTTAGCTGAGTGGATGCTGTTTGCCATTACTCCATTAGAAGGCCCCATTAGGAATTCACAAATTCAAACTGGAGCTGATTGCTGCTGATGGAGGACGTGAAGAATGCACTGAATCCTAATGATTTTGGTGGATGCACTAGCCACCTCCATATTCTTGGTGGCATGAGGATTGAATTTTGGAGGCAGGGTTTTCAATTGGTATTCTGTCCTATAGGACTTGGGTTGAATTTTTAATTAGTTGATGATAACTGACTGCTCACATACATGTTACGTTGTTTATTTGTACTGAAATGAAATAGGAATATTCATGAATTGATATTGCAGTTAGCATCGTTTCTCATTCACTACAACATTCACAAAAATGCCCAATGCAGTTACCACATTCTTCTACACTGTCTCATTCATCCGTGAATGAAGCTGTTTTACAACTTTATGAAGCTAACAGTAGAAAAGTAATTTAGCATCTAAAGTAAGTTCAGCTGGTCAAATGGTCGATTAGATATCAATTGTAGCATGCTGGGCCATCTTCCAGTCCATCAGCTCTGCAAAGCCCAGATCCAAAGTGCCACTGCAAAGCACTCACTATATAGCTAGCACTCATTTTCAACATATCATGCCCCCAAACCTTCAAGTTCTGGATTCAGTTTTGTAGATAATAGTGCCAGCATGATGTGTGCATTAATGTATGTATGTGTTGCCTCAGACCTCTTATGTAAACTTATTTTGTGTGTGTGGCAATTAGTTTAAAATTTAAAATGTATTAGTGTCAGAACATAAAATCTTGGGATGTTTTAACAATTCTATCTAGATCAGAAAAAATCCTTCAAAAACCAGACCTTCTGTAGGAGTTCCATCTTGGGATCATTTATAGGATATCTGAGCACCTTCCTCATGTACTGCACGAAGCACCATCTATCACATGTGGTTTGTTCTGTCATTCTCTCTGCATTGTAGAAGTGTCTCCTTTTCAGGAGAAGTTATTATTTTAATCTTTTTTAAGAAATACATGTTCATATTGCTATGCCTTCATGTTACAAAATGCAAGAATACAATTGGCTATAATATCAGGCCAAAAATTCCAACTCATGGGAAACTTGGAGATCAAAGGCATACATTTTTGAGAGGCCTCATTAACAGTCACTTAAGGCTGTAAAACTAAGTATTATGGCTGCCCTCATCTCTTCATTATCACTGAAGGAATTGGAGCATTTGCCTGACAATACTACCACATACTATACCTAAATCTATCCTCTATTTAGATGAACATGTATTCATAATTGATATCAAGAAGTATGCCTTCAGTGATGTGCACCTACCTATACCAGCAATAAATGGCAATCACCATGGTGGAAAACCTAATCTGTAACTTCTTGAGAATTTCCAAAATCAGCAGAATGTTACAGAGAATTAACTGGATGGTTGCTAGATCTGATGAAATTATTAATTGCATAAAATCTGTCAAATGAGTTTTTCTTTTTTAGATAGTCCACAAACAACTGGCCCCAACACTAAAGCGTACTCAGGTGTGACCAACAAAACTCAGAAGCAAAACAAAGATAAGTTCATGTCAATTCTGTCCTCCGTTTCTGAAGCAGTAAGGTTGGGGAGTGGGTAAGTCCTTAGAATATGTTACAGCAGCCTCAGAGCTCTTCTGTCTTTTTGATTGGTGCTGTTATTCCTCATTTCTTCCTGACAACAGTGGGGAAGCTAATGGCTTCTATTCATGTCAACCTTTTGATATCACATCAGAGCACACAAGTGTGGCTGCAGAGCTCCAGGTTGTGCCATATTCTATAAGCCAGCAGTTTGGGAGCAGTTTTTTGGATACAAACAAGTGTTTGTGGGAGCCAGGTTAGGTTTAGGCACTTAGTTTAAGATGCCTAAACCTGAATCAGGGTTGCCATGTGCAAGTGATTGCTTCTTGCCAGGAGGAGGCACAGGCAGCTGGAGGCAAGTAAGTCATGGGGAAAAGAGGAGTTGGTGTTCTGGGGACTGGTGCATCTGGGGGCGGGGGCATGTCTGGGGAGCTGGTGGGTCTAGGGGGAGGGATGCCTTCCCAGCTCAAGGAGGGGAAGTTAGTGTATGTGTGAGGGAGAAGCAGCTTCAAACTAGGGTCAGGAGAAGGGATAAAAACAGCAGAGTCCTGGGGCTGTGGTGAGTGGCTGGGAGGATGTACAAGTTTTTGTTAGGTCAGGTTAACCCATTTTAGGTTGGGTTCACCCATGCAGGTCTAAAGTTAGTTATAATCTAATGAGAAATTGTAGGGCATTTGTAGGGCAATCTAAACACTGCAAACACTTGTACACCTGGCCATTTATATCTCCCTAAGCTTGTTTAGGGTGATCTAAATGTAACATTTGTACATACCTTTTATCCCTTCACCTGGGGCTGCAACATTTCTGAAGTTACTTCAGGAATGGCCTTACCTTCTATTTTAACATTAACTCTTTTTTTAACATTTTAACAACTACCTCTTGTCCTGGATTGAACTCTGCTTAGGAAATCCTCTGATTTTTAAGTGATTTTTCTCTGTTCCCATCTCTATTCAGAAATATTTAGTGATATTATACATAGGGAGGCAAGTAGCTAGGCAAGCACATTCAATATAAATGCCCATGTTTATATACATGTTCTTTTCCTCAAACTTCTAGGAGAATGAAAATGGGTCATCTGAATGTTTGAGCATAAAACAGAATTCAGATCCAGTCTTTCACCAGTAGAAAAAGCTCTGTTATCCAGCATCCCCCGGGGAATGGGGGAGGCTGGTTAATCAAATATTCTGGTTAATCAAATGTACACTGTCTGGTGCCCTCCCCAGTGCCAGTGTGCCAGGGGACAGGGAGGAGGGCCCTGTGCAGGCTGCTTTGCCCCGCACAGGCTGCTTTGCCCTGGGCCATGGGCCAAAGAAGTGGCAAGAACTCTGCTCGCGGTGGCGGCGAAACCTGGAAGTGGTACCTTCAGTTTTGCCTTTGCCGTGTTCCTCGGATGCTGGTTAATAGAGTTTTCTGGCAAATAAAGTGCTGGTTAACACAGCTTTTGCTGTATTCTAAAAAAATGAAGCTTCACCATGCTTCAAATCATGGAGTTACATTTTATGGAACCATGGAGCAGATCCTATTCCACTTATTAGGCATTTATGTGTACCAAGCACCTACCCTAATATGATCCTATTCCTTTGTGCACAAATCCCTGAAAAACAGTTAACAAAAAAGATGGATTGGCTCTCTTATTTACTGAAGATGTAGTCTTCAGGCTAAGGTGATATTGTGTCATGATGGGAGGAGCATTAATGATTTTCTTTTCAAGTGCCTTTTTCAGGAAGTCAGGTGCCTAAATCTATTTATTACTTTAATAGGTGAAAGGGGATCTGGCCTTATATACTTATTTGGACACTAGGGATGTTGGTTGTAGCTGTACTGATCTAAGGACATAGGCAGACAAGGTTTTTTGAGTAAATGTGATATTTTTTATTAGACCAACTGGGTAATCAACCCTACCTCCATCAGACCCCAACTAACTCCTTCAGACTACAGTCTCTGATTGATTTCCATCAAATTCAATCATCACCTCTCCATCAGACTATCTCTTAAATACTCCAGCACCAATATTTCCTTTTTAGACACAATGATCTATATCCAGAATGGTAAAATACAAACCACCATACAAGAAACCCATGGACCAACGTACTCAGAAAAAGGAATCACCCTAAACACACCATGAATGCTGTAATACACAGCCAAGCCCTCTGATACCATCCGTGAGAGGAAAAGCCCTGGGGATGTATGGAAACCCAAAAGTGTTCATTACACTACATTTACCTCAGGCATGAGAGGGAATACAGCCGGGGCCTGGAGCACCATGCTATACCTCCTGAGTGAATGATTCATTTGGACTGGCAGTTGCAGAGCCTAGAACAGTACTTCTGGATCTGGAGAGGGGCAGCCAAGGACAGACTGCAGCATCTGGGCAGAGGAGATGATGGAGGACTCCCCTGCCTGTGCCAGTCTGCAGTAAAGTGCAGGTAAAGAGTGCAAGAAAGCAGGAATGGGCAGTCAGAGGACTGCCAGCCAACTTAGGTACCAGTAGGCAGGGCATCAGGGATACCTGCCTGACTAAAAAGTAGCACTTGGGCTGAAGAGGAACTGGGTCAGAGGAGGCACAGGAGCCTAAGCCCATGGTGAGCTGGGGGGAGGGAAAAGGGGGGCTTGTTTTGTGTGGGTGCAACCAGTAATTGATTTTGTTGAGAGACTGATAGTAAACTGATAGCGGGATCAACCCTGAACACATTGATAGACTTTTCAGTCAATTTCAGCTTATCGATGGTGATTTGAATGTGTCTGTTTGAGTTTTTTGCTTCTGATGATTTATTGTGCTGTGTAGATTCTTGATCATTCCCAGAGAAAAGGATGAGCCCTGAAGAAATAAAGGGACCTAAGTTGATGCCCCCTCTGAGACTCCGCGAGAATTAAGTGGGTAGGCCCAAGTTCATTCATTCTTGAGGTATTATTGTTTCCCATAGATGGGGAGAAGCTCTGGAGGCGAGATTGGTCATTTAGACTTGTGGGCTGGAAAGAGTGCCCTACCTGCCACTAGAGTGTTAACTACAAGGAAGAGACTCAGTAATATCCAGGATGTGGTAAGGGTGGGGTGTAGGGGAGATGGAGCCCAACAAAGAAATTCCTTCTGCAGGCCTGCATTCATTACTCAGCAGAAGCAGCTCCCTATCTGAAACAAGATGAAAGTTATGGCAGGTGAGAAAAATAACACCATTGAGTGGCTGAGGGGTAGTGGCAACCTGCCCAGCTTGACAACATTCAATGGGAAGTTGCCAAGTTGAAGAGGGCCCAGATCTTACAGTACCTACCCCTGACATGACTGAATTTCCACTAAGGAGAACACCTGTGATCGTCACCTCACAAATCTCAAAAGGGCTTTCACTCAACAAGGACATACCTCCAGAGAGATAGATCGTACTTTTGAAAGGGCTACCTAAATACCACATGAGTGTGCAGTATAAAGAGAAAATCCCCATAAATCCCACACCATTAGTTATTATGACATACAATCCTTCTAAGGAACCTATAAAAGAAATCCTCAAACAATTGCAACCCATACTAAAAGACCCAATTCTTAAAGAGATCTTTCCAGAACCACCTATCCTAGTCTTTAAACAAGCACTGAACCTCTCCAGCCTCATTACCAGAAGCAAACTTGCCCAAAGGACACCAAATGGATCCAGACCAGGCCAGGACAAAAAATGTAAAACCTGCCAACACATCTCCACCACTGCCACAGTAACCATACCCCACAACTGAATCATCACCATTCCTGGATCTTATAGCTGCACCTGCAGAAATGTAATATCTGTCATCCAATGCACTGAATGCCCTGATGGAAAATACATAGGAGAAACTAAACAACAACTGCGTAACAGAATGGACACACACACACTGAAAATCTATCAAAGACTGAAATTTCCAAATACTCGTGGTTGCACACTTCTCACAAGACGACCACTCTTTCTCCAATCTTTCAGTTCTAATCCTCAAAGAGAATTTACAAAACACCTTTTAGAAATGAGCCTACAAATTTCACTCCATAAATCTACTGGATACAAAAAATCATGGCTTAAATATAGACATTGGATTTATGGCACATTATAACTTGCCTGCCATCTGATAACCCCAGGTAACCTCTACATTTCATCAGCTACATTCTATCACCAGGTCAATATTTCCCCCTTCTCCTTCCATCCACCTACCTGTCTCTCACCTATTGTCTCCCATTCCCTCTGATCTTCACTGCCATGCATTTGCATTTTCACAGGTCTGCATTTTGCATATTGGCGTCCATTCCACCCAGGAGAGCACACACCCACCAGCAGACTCTTATGCCTGAAGAAAGGTGTTTGTGCCTGAAAGCCTGGAAAGAATAATTTTTCCAACTATTTAGTTGGTTTAATACAAGATTGAATCACATTTACCCAAAGAACCTTGTCTACCTATTTGGACACTGAATATTCAAGCAGGTCATTTTGAGACATGTCAGAACACCAGATTACCCATAAAGATGCTATATTAGCAGTTTTTTAAAGTGCTAAGTTACTGCATTTCTAATAATAGTTATCTTTTTTATTGTATAAAACATGTAGACATACAACTATAAATGTAAAGGACCAAAACATATTGTAGAAAAAGGTTTTATCTTCACAAAGAGGGTAGGGAATGGCTACGTTTATAATCTTTTCTCCCCTGCTCTACCCAAGGCTGGCCATATTATTTTTGCTGGCTCAGTAAGTATCTAGCTCAGTTTACATTACTGACAGGGCAAAGGTTTGAACGCAACTTCAAAATATTTGTCAATCCTGACTCTCTGTCCAGTAATGATCACAGAGGTATGATCCGGTAACAGAATGTTATCCAAGAAGCAGCTCCACATCAAGAACCAGTAATTAAAGACTTAAAAAGTATTATGCTTTTTTCATTTATTAACTTGTGTGATGTGGGAAAGGACTTTTCCAAATCTTTTTAGAACTCTAATGAGCACATTTCAAGAGATTACTACCACCTCCTTAACTTAACCAACTTCTCAACCACTGCTCCAAGGGAATC